AATAAGTCATTACCAACCAAGGCGCAGATTTTCCTCAACAGTTGCTGCGAAAAGAATAGGTTCCTGCGATACTACACCAATTGTGCGGCGTAACCATCGGATGTTTAGTGTGTTTATTGGAATTCCATCTATTGTAACCTGAAATGGTAATAGTACTGTATGCTCTGGTTTTGTTTTTTACATTCACATTTTTTCAGTCACCAAGCAGGACACATATACTCTTATCAACATACATGTTATCCGCTTGGTACATAAGAAGCGAAACACAAAAGACACAAAAGCACAGTGAAGCTTAAAAATCAGCGCAACGAAAATTTAGCACCTTAGCGTACAATGTCTGGAAAGAAAAGCTACAGCACAAGGCTGTTAATGGTGCCAGCGAACTTTCCAATGGAATGAGCACGAACAATTACTTGACTGTACAAAAATTCCGCAACATTTGGCAAAAGAAACATTTCTGGCAGTTTGCGCACTGGGAAAACTTTTTCTGCTCTCGGGCAATTTCAAAGGCAATATTTTAATTTTTTTTTTATTCTTTTTTTGCAATGCCTTAAACAATCGCTAAAGATTTGTGTTTTATAAAACTGGGCGAAAAATTTACGTACCTCACCACTTTGTTGATTATAATAGCGCAGAAGCAATGAGATTAGCGTACTTTTACCGCAGCCGCTTGCACCAACAAGCGCCACTGATTGTTCCGCCTTCAGCTGTAAATCTTTTTTGTTTAGACGTAGGTGCCAGGATTTGAACAGATGAGGGAGGAGGACAAAAACAGTAGGTGTTTCAGGTGTTTTCTTGATTGTTCTAGGCTCAGTATGGTAAATTTTACCCTTTCCAAGCAGTATATGCTTTAGCGATTTTGTCAGATCTGCCAAGCCCACTCGCACAAAAGACGTAAGTATTGGTGCTAGTTTTGTGACTGGAACTCAACCACGCGTCGGGCGCAACCTATGTCAGGATTTTCTATTCAGGGCTGCAAACTTCCACTTTGTGGAGTTTTTTACAATCTTTGGACCCGAAATAACGTGATGTGATGGTAGAGAGCAATTTGTCTTACCTTGATACTGACTCCTTTCAACACTTCCTGTTGAGGTCGTGATGGATAACGAAAGTGAACGTTTTTGAATTCGATTTCTCCTTTCGGATTTGCAATCGTTGCACCATCACAGCTCTGACAGTCAATTTCTAACTCCTACAATAAATTTTTTGTCAATTTTCAAAAATTTGTCTGCACATGTGGTTATAAAAATTCCAAAACTTGTGCAAGTTACAATTCTTTCACGAGACTGAAAAAATTATTCAAACTTCTATTTTAAGAACTCTTATATAAATCAAAATTCAGGCAGAAATGGCCATTTGGACTGTAACGCAAAATTTTCGATGTCACTGGGAAGTTGACATGCGGTGACTACAGCAGCTATGTCAAGCCTGTTGCTTATTTTAAAAAGTTGTTTCAAATCATAAAGTATAAAAGGAAGAGAATAGTATACTTAGCTAAAGTATAACGTTGATGCGGCTGAGCCTCTCTAAGCGGAAAATAAGGCCAGTCGCTTTCTATACTTACCTATCAAATCGCGTGGTGTAGCCGTACATGATAG